AATTACTACTACTACCAGCATTCCCATGAGTATTACTGCCATATCCTTCTCCATGTAGATACCAAACAAAATATTGCGGCATAAACCCTCTATTTAATAAATGCGTCCACACGGTTTTGGTTAGTGTATACCTCGTATTCTTGCATTTCAAACAAGGACAAAACATCTTCCCACTATCTTTCGTTCTCTCCATATTTGTAGCCTGATACATAAATATTTCTAACCCGTTCTTGAATTCTTCTGTCAACGCCCCATCTGAATCTTTACGCATATACATCCAACTTCTTAGCTCGTATATAGACATCTTGAAAATAAACTCAAAATAATATCTCTTTTTATTGATTAGACAATAACTATATATAGGTGGTCTCTTGTGTCACGTCTAGCCACATGAATGAAGTAAATTAACCTTATAATATTATTACTTCTTTGATTCAAAGTAATATCTTAATTCGGGTTTTCAGCAATGGACAACCCAATATATAAGATTTACAACACTATACTAAAATTTAAGAGACCTACAATGGGTCTCCAAGATGAAGATGCTCTTATGTTTGAATGATGATGTGTTGTGATTGAATGAAGGAATGAAGATCTATTTATAGGAAAATTTCGGGCTTTACATCGCTTTTACGACGACTTTTTACGACGGTTTTACATTCACCAATCATATTACGACAAGTTTACGACGATTTTGCGATAATCTACAATTGTTAGGTACACATGTTTTAAATGTTTTTCACCTAACTCCTTTTTCGACGTACAATCGTCGTAATATGTACATCGAAACAAAGTCGTCGTAAAGTCGTCGCAAAATTACGACGAATATACGACGACTTTACATTTACTAGCAAATCTCTCGTTATCGATGTATAATCGTCGTAATTCGTCGTAAATTGTACGTCGAGTTTACGACGATTTTTTTATACGACGGTTTTACGACGGTTTTTAAATTAGACGTAAAATCGTCGTAAAATCGTCGCAAATTTACGACGATTTCAAATCCGTCGTAATGGACCGTCGGAAAATCATTGTTTTCTTGTAGTGCATTGACTTTCTGTCTGTTAGTCAAACCTGTTAACTTGCAAACGGAATCCGACTTGGATACCACCGTGGATGTTCTATTCGAATGAAACCAATACGACGCCGTTTAAGGTTAAAAATCTGGAAAAAAAGGCAAAAACGACGTCATTTTAAATTTATTATCCATTAAAAAAAATACACCATCTATATCTTCTTTCGTGGGAGAAAAACATCGATAGATAGGATTTGGGTGGTGTTCAAAATCAAATTGGAATGACTTCATCGTCGAATGCTAACGCTTCTTCGGAGATTCATGTAGGTTTAGGTTTGCAATTTTGGTTTTGATTTTGATTCAAACACTTTCGGAAAATCAAATCGAAAATTTCAATTTTGATTTTTTTAATGTATAATAAATTTAAAACGACGTCGTTTTTGCCTTTTTTCCCCTGGTTTTTAACTTTAAATGACGTCGTATTGGTTTCATTCGAACACAGTATCCACTGAGGCATCTGAGTCGGATTCCGTTTGCAAATTAATGGGTTTGACTAACAGAGAGAAAGTCAATGTACTAATTGGCCAAAAAAACATTATTGAGGTATGTATTTACCGATTTTAATAAGTTCAGGTACTGATTAACCTATCAAAATTGTTTGGGTATTTATTGGTACCAGATGATGGTGTTGAGGTACTAATCGGCCTTTTTTCCGAGCTTTGTTCATCCACTCTCTACGAAATGGACTATTTCAAAGAACCGAATTAATGGCCAAAATGCCATAATTTGAAAGAGAGAAATCTATTGTGCCATAAATGAGTCTACATGCCATAATACATATAGAATTCCAATTTTACCCTTAATGAAATAAATTGTGGCATTTTTGATTTTACCCAAAAATTAATATTTAAATAAATTCATAATTAATACATTAAAATTAAAACAAAAATTAATTAAAAAAAAATTTCTCTTCATCTTCAACCTCAAACCTGCTAAATCTCATTCTTACCGTCGAATTTTCTCATCCTCCTCCTCTTCCTCCTCTTCCTCTTCTTCCTCTTCTACTGCAATCAAATTATTGTTCTTAACTCCTCTCTATTCTGCCATTGTTGAAGCTTTAAAAATGAGTAAATTATTCTTATTTGAGAATTTAGGGTTTTCAAAATTTAAAGAATGAATTTGCAAAACTTGCTTGTTTTGGTAACCAGATTCGACTGGGAACCAAGTTTTATATGAAGATTAAGTCTTTGCATTGGTAATTTATCGAGTTTAGTTGTTGAATCATAGTGATTATTAGGTAGTTTAGAATTAAAACCCGAGTTCATCACCAAATCTGCAGATGAGGACAACTGGTACAAATGGTACAACTAAGAGATAGAGGACAACTGGTACAAATGGTACAACTAAGAGATAGAGGACAACTGGTACAAATGGTACAACTAAAAGATATAGGACAACTGGTACAAATAGTACAACTAAGAGATAGAGGACAACTGGTACAAATGATACAACTAAGAGATAGAAGACAACTGATACAAATATGTATAACTAAGACAACTAGAATAATTGCTAATTAAGTTATTTTTTATTCTATGTTCAGGAGATAATGAGCATCAGCCACACAAACATTTACTGGATTTCAAAAATTTTTATCTATGTTATATCATTTACTATCTCATATTTGGAACAGATAACTTATTTCATCTATGTTATATTGTTAATCATGTTATGAAACAAAAAAGGCAAAAGTTATGATTTTACATAACTTGTAATATGAAAACCTCGTAGATGAAAATTAATAGTTTAAAATCAATGTTAACGCTAAAATCTCAAAAGAACAACTATTAAGATTTTTAGATAACTGGACAATTAGGTATAACTATGTACAAAAATTGTCTGTGCACATAGGTGCATGTGTTACGTTGACAGACATCTCGACACTTAGGAAAGTCAATATGGTCTAGAGGATTTCATTTTTGGCTGAAAATGCTTTCTGGATAGAAATAAACAAGGTACAACTAGACATCTATGTACAACTATATGCAATTCTTTAATTAGAAAATAATAATAATAAAATTATAAATATAAAAAGAAAGCATTCACTTAAAAAATGCAAAAAGTTAAAAACTATAAAAAATAAATTTAAAAAGATGGATAAAATAAAAATATCATTTTCCTAATACATACTATTGGTTTCACATCAAACATCCCTTATGATACAAGGAAGGCTTTCACAATGTAAACAATCTTTTGATGGAAAAGATTCAAATATATTTTGCATAATTTTTATTATGAAAATTTTGTAAATGAACTGCAATAGTCGAAAATCATGTGGACAACTACAAACTAATGATTTATATTAAGGAACAACTAGAAAAATGCTAAAATCGCTAAAAGGACAACTATGAAGAATTTTGGACAACTGACAATTGGGTACAGCTATGTATAAAATTGACGGTGCACGTGGTACTTTGACTGCGCAGATGTCTATTTCTATCGAGGCATGTGTTCTCTAGCTTTGTGGATGTGGATAAGCAAGGGACAACTAGACAAGTAAGGACAACTATATGCAACTTTTTAATTGTTAAAAAAATTAATAATTAAATTAAATTAAACATATAAAGAAAGTATATACTTAAGAAATGCAAACATGTCTTAAACTATAAGGAACACTATTAATAACATGGATAAAATAAAATAATCATTTTCTTAATATATATTATTGGTTTCACATCAAATATCCCTTATGATACAAGGAATACTTTCACAATGTAAACAATCTTTTGATGGAAAAGATTCAAATATATGATTTTGCATAATTTTTATTATAAAAACTTTGTAAATGAACTGTAATAGTCGAAAATCATGTGGACAACTACAAATTAATAATTTATATTAAGGGACAACTGGAAAAATGCTAAAATCGCTAAAAGGACAACTATGAAGAATTTTGGACAACTGGACAATTGTGTACAACTATGTATAAAATTGACGGCGCACGTAGTACGTTGACGGCGCACGTAGTACATTGACTGCACAGATGTCTATTTCTGTCGCGGCACGTGTTCTCTAGCTTTGTGGATGTGAATAAGCAAGGGACAACTGGACAAATAAGGACAACTATATGCAACTTTTTAATTTTTTAAAAAATTAATAATTAAATTAAATTAAACATATAAAAAAGTATATACTTAAGAAATGCAAACACGTCTTAAGCTGTTTGGAACAATATTAATAACATGGATAAAATAAAATTATCATTTTTCTAATACGTATTATTGGTTTCACATCAAAAATCTCTTATGATACAAGGTAGACTTTCACAATGTTAACAATCTTTTGATGGAAAAGATTCAAATATATGATTTTGCATAATTTTTATTATAAAAACTTTGTAAATGAACTGCAATAGTAGAAAATCGTGTGGACAACTACAAAATAATAATCTATATTAAAGGACAACTGGAAAAATGCTAAAATCGCCAAAGGACAACTATGAAGAATTTTGGACAACTGGACAAGTATGGACAACTATGTACAAAATTGGCGGTGCACATGTTACTTTGACTGCGCACATATTCTGTTTTGTCGGCGCACATGTTTTATTTAAAATTAATTAAAAATTAATTTTAATTGTAATTTAATTATATAGTTATACCACGTATACTAAATTGTACTTAGTATTAGTTGAACATAGTTAAACTTAGTTGTCCATAATTGTATTTATTTGTACTTAGTTGTCCATAGTTGTACTTAGTTGTCCATCATTGCATTTGAATCAAAAAGGTGAATAAAATAGAATGTAAGAAAAATGAAAAAAAAGATGGTTGATTTCTTTTTCTTTTTTGTTTTGTAAAAAACTCATTATAGATAAAACAAAACATCCAAGATAACATCTCAAATTTAACCAAAAATTAATGAAATAAAACAAATCAAGTACTAGTCAGAACATATAAACATCAAGATAAAAGAAGTCAGATCATGAAACTTCTATGTTCAGCTCTACACCTGAGCTTTTGCAGCTTCTTTTTCTTCACTAGCTGCAGCCATTAGTTCATCAAACTTCTCCGACTTCACAAGCGTAATTTCAATCTACCATACCAAATACCAAAGATAATCATACCATCTCAATCGTAAATACGATGAAATATGTAACTCTTCAAAGACATAACAAATATTCAACAAGATAACAAATCCGATTCTTTACCTCTAATATCTCTAGTACCGAGCAAACTACAAAAGATTAATAAAATCCAGTGATCAATGCCATAAAATCTAGTTTTACAGCTTGAGAACTACAAGAATTGACAAAACCTGAAAAATTATGGTTCTCTAACTGCTTAGTTGCACCCGAAGCTAAAAGAGATAATTAAATTCAAATAGCATTAGAATAAAGAATAAAGAGGATCTTGCTTTATGCACCAACAGAAAATTGCTTGTTAGAAAAAAAATTCAAGAGTCAGTGTACCAAAAACTACTGACATAAACATTCAACAGCCAAACTAAGGAAAGAGATTATTATCAATTAGAAATCTTTTATTATTACTCACTTCTTATCGATGCCATAATCCTGCAGGTTAAATCCAAAACTTCTGAGTCAGAATCACAAAAAAAAAAGATAGGACTTGAAACCGAACTTGTGAAAGCCTAAAAGAAACAATTCTGATTCTAATACACCCAGGTAAGTCAATCTCTCTTTTTGTGAAGAACGTAAGCTAGGAGAAAACACAGATTAGTTTCTCATTCTATAGTTTCCACATAACAGACAAGGCTTCTATAAACAAGGGATTATAAATGAAACCAGGATTTGAGTCATACGTGATAGTAGTGCAAGTCCGTACTCTCCACATGGACTGGGATATCATTGAAACCTGAACGAGACTGGCTGCAATAAGGGTTCCTAGCGCCAATTCAGCTTTTAGACGACCTTCTTCGTTCACCAAGTAAGATCAAATATATGTCAAAGAGAGGAAAGAAGATTATGACAGGCTGGAGCGCGCATATTTAATGATCTTACAGGCCGTAATGGTGATGACTCTTCTTCTGAAACTCAGGTTTATGGGAGGAATACAAGTCTTGGTAGAGATGACAATCAAGTATCTAAGAATGTGTATGTTGTGGTAGAGAAGAACTTAAGCCTCAAGGGAATACAAACGAGTTAGTCTTGATGCACCATCTCTCCACAAAATCCATGATCACATCGTAGACGCCGGAGGTGGTGGTACAATTAAGGAACCGTGTCGTTCGAAGACCTTTGAATCTTCCACCGTCGGGACACATCAGAGCTTGTCAAACTTGGACGATCCGTTCATCCTCCTGATTGGAAGAAGCGAACTTGTACGGATCGATTTTCACTTAAACCATTACTCTCTTGTTCACCCCATGGTGCTGGAGAAACTAACGCTCCTTATGGGATGCTCCTCCTTATGGCTCTTCAAAGTCTCTGATCACAGTCAACATCGTCTCTAGAGCGTGTCCTGAGAATTGGAGATTCGTTGCTGTTGCTGGAGAATTGGAGATTGTTCGCCAGAGAAATCGAGTCGTCAATATCGGGGGAAGTTACGGTTTCTCTGATTAAGTTGTTAATTTTTTAATTATTGGGAAAAAAGAGAAGTTTCAGACCATTTTAGAAAAAGGAGATAAATAGAGTTTGAAAAAAAAGATGATAAATTGATAAATGAAAATAAACTGGATTGAGCACGGGTCATCGGGTAGGAGTAAAAACGGGTGGGTATAACCCTGGTTTTCTTGTGATTATAAAGGCATAGGAGGAGAAACAAAGAATTTCCAGGATTTTCCTTATTAAACAAAAATGAAAATTATATTAGTTATTAGACATACGGCATTTTAGCCAACTTTTTTTCAATTTATGGCTTCCCAGCCTCTCGCTCCAAAGAACCTCGTCCCCCTCTCTCTTTTTCTATTTCAGGTCAATATATACTAATATAACTCAGAGATGATGATTCATGCTCTGTCTAGTTCCCCAAACGCCACCATTTTTTCCTCCTCTGTAGCTTTGTTGCAGATGTATCTGAACACAAAAATAACAGGAAGCTCTCTTAAAAATTTGAAGATGATGGAAAATATAGCAAAACAGGATCTGTTAAACGAGTTAAGGTGTGTAGGATAAGGATTTACCTCTGTTTAAGTAGATGAGTTGTAATGAATCTGTGCCCAGAAGCTCAAGAAGATTACTGCAAACCACAAACACAATAATATATCACTGTAATAACAACATTCAGAAAAAGATGAAGAAGACAAGCAAAAAAAAAAAAACAGTGGAGTAGTGGACTAAACTCTTTACCTCCTTTGGATTCTTGAGAGGTAGGAAGAATTTCAATATAACATGTATTCTTGAATGATGTTAACACTACTAAGAACCGTGAGTTATAATATGAGAATTAGATATTTAGTGAATCAGTAACACATAATCTAATCTAAATGAAAAGTAGAACACTTACCCAGTTGAAATCTGACCCTGAAGCAAAGCGACAATAGAAGACAAAGAAGAAGGGAGATGGCGGATAAATCGAGGAAGGCCCGAAGAACAAGGATGAAGAAGGAGGACAGAGGCGGAGGAGAAAGAATTAGGTCCAGTTTGGTTGCTGGATCGACGCGGCTAGGGAGAGACCCGACAAGGGAGAAAACCTTATCCACGTCGGATATAATTTTGGCCGAAGAATATAATTAGAAATATGTTATTTTTTATTGTTTTTGTTGTGAAAACTTAGAAACTTTATTAATCACTGGAATGTATATATAGAGTACATAGGGAATCTAGGTTAAGTACAATGCCCTGATGGGCCTAATGGGCCGGTATAAGAGTCCATATATGATATGTGTTATAACACTCCCCCTTGGACGAGTGAACCGGGTCAGCTACTCAATCGGGATCTCGATAATGCGCTGGGGAATGTTGCCTCATTAAAACCTTACCAGGAAAAACCCAGTGGGACAAAACCATGGTGAAGGAAAAAGAGTACAACACGCATTACTCCCCCTGATTGTAGCATCACTGCAGATCTCTAAGTCTATGCATTCCTATCTGTTTGACGAGCTTCCGGTGTGTTGAAGTAGGCAATGATTTGGTGAAGAGGTCAGCTGAATTCTCACTGGATCGGACCTGCTGAACGCTGAGAGTGCCGTCCTTCTGCCAGTCTGAGGTTGAGAAGAACTTCGGTAGAATGTGCTTCGTCCGATCTCCTTTGATATATCCTTCCTTGAGCTGAGCTATGCATGTCGCGTTGTCTTCATACATCACCGTGGGCTGTGTGTCTTCGTCCATACCACAATCTCTGCGGATGTGCTGAGTCATGGAGCGCAGCCAGACGCATTCCCTACTAGCCTCATGAATGGCTAGGATTTCAGCATGGTTTGATGAAGTGGCAGTGAGTGTCTGCTTCATTGATCTCCAAGAGATGGCTGTTCCTCCATGCGTAAAAACGTAGCCAGTTTGAGACTTGGCAGTGTGCGGATCTGATAGATATCCTGCATCGGCGAAGCCGACTAACCCATCTTTATTTTGGTTAGTATAGAAGAGTCCTAAGTCTTGAGTACCTCGAAGGTATCTTAGGAGATGTTTTATACCGTTCCAGTGCCTCTGAGTTGGAGATGAACTATATCGAGCGAGGAGGTTCACGGCGAAACATATGTCTGGTCTAGTGTGACTAGCCAGGTACATTAACGCTCCTACAGCACTGAGGTATGGCTTTTCAGGACCAAGGATTTCTTCATCATCCTTTTTGGGACCAAGAGGGTCATCACTTAAGCTTCTAACTACCATTGGGCTGGTCAATGGGTGAGCTTGGTCCATATTAAATCGCTTGAGTACCTTTTCGATATAAGCCGATTGATGCACAAGGATTCCTCCTTTGATGTACTCAAGTTGTAATTCCAAACAGTACTTTGTTTTGCCTAGGTCTTTCATTTCGAATTCTGCTTTTAAGCAGTCGACTGTTTGGGAGATCTCACCAGATGTTCCGAGGATGTTTAGATCATCCACGTATACTGCTATGATTACAAATCCTTTGTTTGAGTACTTCTTGATGAAGATGCATGGACTGATGGGGTCATTTTTGTAGCCTTCTTTGATGAGGTAATCGCTGAGGCGGTTGTACCACATACACCCACTTTGTTTCAGTCCATACAAGGATTTGTTCAGCCTGATGCAGTATTGATCTCGAGATGCATTTTTGTCTTTTAGTTCAATGCCATCTGGGAGTCTCATATATATTTCGTTGTCCAGGGGCCCATAGAGATATGCGGTTACAACATCCATTAACCGCAGATCAAGATTTTCTCTTATGGCCAGACTTATGAGGAATCGGAATGTTGTTGCATCCACCACTGGAGAATAAGTCTCCTCATAATCGATTCCGGGTCTCTGTGAGAATCCTTGTGCTACAAGCCGTGCTTTGTATCGAACGACTTCACCGAGTTCGTTCCTTTTGCGCACAAAGACCCATTTGTGGCCCACTGGCTTGATGTGTGATGGGGTCCGGATGATCGGACCGAACACGTTTCTGAGTTTGAGACTCTTTAACTCCACGTTTATGGCTTCTTTCCATTTTAGCCAATCTGTTCGATGTGTACACTGTGTTATTGACGTGGGTTCTAGATCCTCTTGCGTGAGCGCAACATCAAGTGCTACTTTGTATGCAAAGAGTGCATTTAAGTCGACTTCTTTTCGATTCCATTGTATTCCGGACATATTGTAATTGATGGAGATCTCATTGTTATCTTCTGAACCTGGAGATTCGGCGTCCCGAACTTCCATTGAGGGTTCATTAGATTGAGTCTCAGCCGCGGCTATGTCTGATATTGCAGGAATCCCGGTTTCGGTTATTGCACCTTTCTTTGATTTCCGGGGATTCTTATCTTTGGAACCGAGAGGTCTGCCCCGTTTGAGACGTGGTGCAGACTCTGTAGCAACTTGGGTCTGTCCCGTTGGGACAGCTATTCGTACTGGTGCATTACAAGCTGGGATGTACGATTTGGTTACTTTGGTCGGGTCAGCAAAGGAATCTGGCAATTGATTAGCTAGCTTTTGATAATGAATAATCTTTTGGATCTCTGAATCACATTCTAGAGTCCGAGGATCTTGCCAATTTAATGATGTTTGATTCCATGAAAGATCTTTGACCAGCTTGTTTGTCTCACCACCTAAAGAGGGATATACCGATTCATCGAATTGGTAATCCGCATATCTGGCCTTGAAGAGATCTCCAGTGGTTGGCTCGAGATATCTTATGATGGTGGGAGAGTCAAAACCAACATATATTCCCATCCTTCTTTGAGGTCCCATTTTGGTTCGATGTGGTGGAGCAATGGGTACATATACTGAACACCCAAATGTTTTGAGATGGGAGATGTCTGGCTCATGACCCGAGAGTAGTTGGGATGGGGAATATTTGTGTTCACTAGATGGCCGGATGCGTATGAGTTCAGCAGCATGTAATACTGCATGTCCCCATGCTGAGGCCGGGAGCTTTGATCTCATGAGTAATGGTCGGGCTATCCATTGAATGCGTTTAATGAATGATTCAGCCAATCCATTTTGAGTATGGACATGTGCTACAGGATGTTCCACGGTTACCCCCATGGCCATACAGTAGTCATTAAACGCTTGTGAGGTAAATTCACCAGCATTGTCAAGGCGGATAGTCTTTAGTGGGAAGTCAGGGAAATGGGCCCGCAATTTTATGATTTGGGCCAAGAACCTAGCGAAGGCTTGGTTCCGAGAGGACAAGAGACAAACATATGACCAACGGGTCGATGCGTCTATAAGGACCATGAAGTACCGGAATGGTCCGGAAGATGGATGTATAGGTCCACAGATATCGCCCTGGATTCTTTCTAGGAAATGAAGTGTTTGTTTAGAGATTTTAACTGGTGAAGGCCGAGTGATCAATTTGCCTTGAGAACAAGCTGTGCACATGAGGTGTTGAGGATAAGCTCGGTTTTCTTTGAGGGTATGCCCTTGAGAGTTTTGAATTAGTTTACGCATCATATTTGCACCGGGATGACCGAGCCGGTCGTGCCAAATAGTATAATCAGTAAACCGGGCTTTGAGAGTGGTATTAGCTTCAATCATACTGACTTTAGCATGGTAAAGTCCAGTAGAGAGCGCGGGTATGGTTTCGAGGATTTGTTTATGGCCGTCTACGGTTTTAGTGACTAGGAAGGATTCTTTGTTCCCTTGACCTTGGGTTTCTATGTGGAAACCATTCTGTCTTATATCCTTGAAGCTCAGAAGATTTCTCTTCAAACTAGGAGAATATAGAGCATCTGGTATTTCAAGTTGTGTGCCATTTGATAGCAACACATAGGCATGGCCATATCCTTCGATAAGGTTTGAGGGACCCGCGATGGTGCTAATATTTGCGGTTTGATAGGTTAGGTTTATGAAGTAACTTTTGTTTCTTAAGATAGTGTGGCTGGATCCACTATCTACGACTATGGTTTCCATTTGCTGGTGTGCTTTTCCACCTTTGGATTTCTGACAGGCTAATGAAACTGGGAGCTAATAGACCTCAGTTAGCCGCTACAAATTCCAAGGATTGATCACCAAAACTGGAGAAGCTGCTGGTTGAAGAAGGAAAAACTCGGATCTGGTTTTTTTTTTTTTTTTCCGGTTGATCGTCGTGTACTGTAAGTGTGCGTGAGGGCGCGTCCGACGTTGGATCGACAAACGGTTTTCACCAGTAGATTCGTCTCGTCGAGGGCTTCGATTTGATATGTAGATCGTCTTCTGGTTCCTCACGGTTTGGAAGATATGCGTCTTTTAAGTTTCGACTTGCTTTTAGGGTTTTGGTGGTGGCCGGATTTATTAGGGTTTTTCGCTCAGAGAGTCTTATCGTGCTGATAACGTGTTGTGAAAACTTAGAAACTTTATTAATCACTGGAATGTATATATAGAGTACATAGGGAATCTAGGTTAAGTACAATGCCCTGATGGGCCTAATGGGCCGGTATAAGAGTCCATATATGATATGTGTTATAACAGTTTTTCATTTTTGCTGAATTAGAATAAATGTTAAAAATTTACTAGAAAATGAAGGGTAGTTTTGGGTTTCAATTAAAATAAATCTTAGAGAGACAAACCTAAGATTATAAATCATATATATTATAAGCAAAGTAAAATTTTGAGTTAAAGCTCTCTCATTCAATTTTAGGGTGGCTAATTACCCTTTACCCCTTCTTGTATTTTTTAAATTAATTTTAATAACAAAATTATTAAAAATTGTAAATTAATTAAAAAATATTAAAAATCGTAATTAAATAAAAATATTAAAAATCGTAAATTAATTAAAAAAATGTTAAAAATTGAAATTTAATCAAAAAAAATTTAAATTTAATAAAAATTATTAAAAATCGAAATTTAATCAAAAAATATTTAGAATAGAAAATAACGAAAATTTAAAAATTGGAATTTAATCAAAAAAATATTTAGAATCATATCATATATAATATATGCAAAGTAAATTTTTCGTTATAAGGTCTCTCATTCTATCTCCCTTTATTCGTTAATAAAATATTTTTAATTCCCCTTTATTCGTTAATCGGATTATCTGTTGAACGAGATTATCTGGAAAAAAAATGTCCATGTGATGTGGGAAATCCTAGCTTAAGTTGAGAGCTATATATAAATATATTACTTTTTTTAAATGTATCTT